TGTGGACGGGCGACCCTCGGCATCCCAAACCGAGGACACTATTGCTGTCGCTACAGGATATTTTCCACAGCAACATCAAAATGTTCCAATTAAATTATTAGAAAGATGGTAGCGTCGGGGATACATCACTAGTGAGGGCACGGAGCCCGCGGCCAGTTTCTGTCAGGTCAAACCAGCCCTCGCTCCTCTCTCACGGAGCAGCTGACGGGATCAAGGCACTGTCTGGGTATACATGGTATTTCTGTAATTAACTGAGTAATTTCAGTAATTAGCAGAAGTATCTAGGAGCCTGGAAAAAGACCATTACTTACATATACTGTAGCATTAAATTTTAATGCATAATTACGCTCATCAGTTACTTAATGAAGGTAACGGCCTCATATCCTGGTAGCAGAAGCACTGCCCTAAGTCTGTTCTAAAATACAGCACATGCAGTTCATTCATTGCTGCAAAGTTTGTATTTTCTGGGATTATAATGTGCTCACAGGAGCAAACTGAGTAGTGGAGCAACACAAGTTTTTGCAAACGCATGTTTAAATTTACTGCATTGTCTCCTTTGCGGGCATACAATTTATTTTTACGGGTGGCCAGCAACATGTAAGAAGGGCTCTAGCTCATGTCCAGCAGCTCTTGACATTACAGGTCACAGCAGAGAGATTTTGAAATACTGATTAATGTGGTGATTAGAGTGGTGCCTGGTCAAGATGCTGGGCGGGATGAGTTCTAACCATACATGCCAATGCAACTTTGAAAAAGTTTATTTTTGGTCTATAAAATAGCACAAGTCTAGACTAGAAGATGTTGTAAGGTAGGGATTTCTGAAAGATGAAAACTTCCTGCAGCTACAGCTTTTCCTTTTCACTTGGTTTTCAGAATAGGGCAACAGGCTATTTTGTTTGCACACACAAAACTCTGACTAGACCCTAAAAGAAAGCATCAAGAAGAAAATTAGTCACAGGTTTAACACCCAGTAGAAATAATGGGGTTTCGGCTGGTACACAGGTCTGGGAGGGGCTTTTATTGTTCTCTCTAAAGAAGGAATCCAAAGCACTTGTAAGAGAAAGTTACTGTTACATAGTTAAACATAGCTTTATAATCTTTACTACAGTAGTTGTGGAAGGTGTTTAGTTTACATCTATAAATATAACAGTGTATTTTCAGTGTGAGATGCACACCTGTTTTCTCCCTGCATAAGGAGAGAGGAAGAAACCCAATGACATCTACAGAGTGCACATATTTTAGGAATAGAAGGGAATAATCATAGAATCATCATAGAATCATAGAATGCTTTGGGTTGGAAGGGACCCCTAGAGGCCATCTAGCCCAACTCCCCTGCAGTCAGCAAGGACACCGCTAACTAGATCAGGCTGCTCAGAGCCCCGTCCAACCTGGCCTTGAATGCTTCCAGGGATGGGGCCTCCACTGCCTTGCTGGGCAACCTGTTCCAGTGTTTCACCACCCTCATTGTAAAGAATTTCTTCCTTATATCCAGTCTAAACCTACCCTGTTCTAGTTTAAAGCCATTACCCCTTGTCCTGTCACAGCTGGCCCTACTAAAAAGATTTTCCCCATCTTTTCTATAGGCTCCCTTTAAGTACTGAAAGGCCGCAATCAGGTCTCCCCACAGCCTTCTCTTCTCCAGGATGAACAAGCCCAACTCTCTCAGCCTGTCCTCACAGGAGAGGTGCTCCAGCCCTCAGATCATCTTAGTAGCCCTCCTCTGGACCCACTCAAACAGATCCATGTCCTTCTTGTGCTGAGGGCTCCAGACCTGGATGCAGGACTCCAGGTGAGATCTCACCAGAGCAGAGTAGAGGGGCAGAATCACCTCCCTCGACCTGCTGGCCACGCTTCTCCTCATGCAGCCCAGGGTAGGGTTGGCCTTCTGGGCTGCCAGCGCACATTGCCGGCTCATGTCCAGCTTTTCATCCACCAGCACCCTCAAGTCCCTCTCAGCAGGGCTGCTCTCGATCCTTTCTTCCCCCAGCCTGTACTGATACTGGGGGTTACCCCGACCCAGGTGCAGGACTTTGCATTTCGCCCTGTTGAACCTCATGAGGTTCACACAGGCCCACCTCTCCAGCCTGTCCAGGTCTCTCTGGATGACATCC